AAACCGTCCTTACCCCACAGCGCTGCCGGCCCCGCGGCTACAGGACGCTCCCGGGATCGATGCCTGCAGCTGGGGAGAGGGGCCCAGGTCAGTGTGCTCCAGCCCCCAGCCCCCCGCCCCCCTGAACCTCCGCAGCCCCAACCACGGGGCCGGGCTCTGCAGAGCCCAAAGCGCGGCCTGAGAGCCCCCGTTTATGGGCAGAGATGATTTAGTGCCCTGAGGAATACGCCTCTGGGGAAGCTGGGACGGCTTCCAACTCTTCCTTCCCTCCTCTATATATTAACTTCGCATGCATATGAGGCTGGAAGCTCTTCCAATCACCTCTGCAAATATTAATTAATCCTCACAGCATCCTGAGGACCATTATTCACTCCTATTAAGTAAATATTATTATATCCTTTTATGAGAGGTGAAGTGACTTTTCCAGGGCTGTGCAGGGCATAAGTAGGAGCGCACAGACTTTGTCTTGCCACCGCGGGCCCGGAGCTGCTGCTCAGGGGTAAACCTGCCCGTGCCTGCGCTGGGGGGGTCTCCAGGGGCCAGGGACCCGACCGCCCCCCAGCACCGTGAGGGGTGCAGGTGCTTTGTGGGACCACGCTGCGATGCATCAGCAGCCTGTGGCTTTGGCTGCCCCCCCGGGGCCGCGGGGACCCGCTCCCCACTCTTGGCCCATTCTGGCTCAGCACGGATGGATCCCTATTGCGGCGTCGGGCTGGACTTACTCTGAAGGAGCCAGTCGATGAAAACGCTTGGGAACGGGGAATTCTGCAACAAACAAGGAGGCGTTGCAGGTTGTGAGTGCGAGGCTGCGGCGAGCAGCATGTGGGGACAGGGCCGGGACACGGTCGTACCTGCAAATCCAGCTCCACAAACTGCCCGGATGTCACTGGCAAATTGGAGAGGGCAGAGTGGATTTTGCCCAGCAGCCCGAAGGAGATGACACCTGGGCAGGGGGAGAGGCCGTCAGGGCTGGGCAGAGCCGGCTGATGCCCGGGGCCAGCGGGCAGGGGCTGGGGGACCCCGATGTCCTTCCGCGGGTCTCAAACCTCCCAGGGCCAAAGGTCCCACAGAAGCCGCTGTCCTGGGGCTACCTGGTGCCCGTCTCACTGCACGGGCAGCATCTGGGGTAAATGGGGACCACGCCGCTTGCAATGAAGCAGCAACTGCATCTGTGTGGGGAACCCCCCCGGCTCTGAGGGGCTGCAAACCGGGGGGTCCCGGCAGAGCTGCCTCTCTTGGCAGCAGCTTGGGTCTGGCCCCAGTCGGAAAAACAACGGTGAGAACAGCAGGATCGTGACGGTTTCACGATGTCAGGCAGCGGGGGGGTGAGCCAGGACGGTGCCACCCACGGCAGCTTTGCTGGCGGGTTCCTGCTCCGTGCAGAGCAACTCCCCGTCCCGCGGCTCCGCTCTCCCGAGGACACCCGCTGCCTGTGGGGAGGGCTAGACACACAGAACTCGGGTGCCACTCTAAAAATTAATATGGAAGAGAAAAAGACTTACGGTTGAGGAACTGTAGCTTAATATTGATGATGCTGACCCAAATATTCACTAATGGGCAAAGCTGCAACGGTAACAAGCGGCACAACCTTGGTCAGAGTATCTTGGGTGTAGCAAGGTGTTTCCCTAACATCGCTGGAGACTCAGAGACTTTAAATCAAGGTGGAACAATCAGCTCCTAGGGAGTAGTTTCCTCCATGGAAAAAGAGCAATATAAATTGTTCAGCCCTCTTCTCAGAACCGCACAGATTCTATTTAACAGACTAAAAGATTTTCTAACAGGCACCTTTCCTCTAAGTGAGGCTGTCGCTTCTGCTTACCGCCCCGCCGCGGCACCAGAAGGCCTTTCAGGAAGCAACTGGTGACAAATTACCCCGTAACGCTGCATGAGGGAATTTGAATTACTCCTAACAAATAAATTCTGTCTGTAAGAAAGATCAAGGAGGTTTGCAGAATTCACTTATGGGGATGTGGGCCTGCGTCTGTGCACGCACGTAAATACACGTATGGGTGTGTAAATCTGCGGGGCAATTATGGCAAGAGCACTAATTACGACTGAAGTGCAGCTTCTTACAACAAAGAATTTCCAGGCACTCACCAGTGAAGGGACAAGAGTCTGAAGAGAAGAGTTCAGCAAATTGCTCACCAGATTGGTCAGTAAGCTGGGAAAAAGAAAAAAAAAAAACAACAAACAAACAGACAAAAATTACCAGGGAAGTTGTCAAACCCGAGGCTCAGCATGGAGACAAACCTGACCTCCTCCTCTGCTGGTCTGCGGCGTGAGCACCGGGGAGGAGCGCCCGCTGGCTTCTCCTCGCTCTGGTTAAAAGCTGCCGCAAGCCCACAGCTCCCCCAGGCTTTGGCAGGAATTACAGATACTCGGGACTTTGTTATCTGGTTCTTCAAATCTGGTTGTTAAACCGTACATCTGAGCCTAGATTTGGGACTGGAGTTTTGCCCCACGGCAAACATGCCAAGGGCTGGCCCGCGGTTAGTCCTGCGCTGCTCCCCCGCGCACAGGCCACGTCCCATCATCCCCTTGCAGGTTTCTCAAAAAAAAAATCTGCTTTTCTATGAGGAAATCCTGTGGTTTCCTCATGGCTGGATAACGGGGCTGCCATTTACTCTGCATCTCCCTGAGATTTGTGAAGTGCTGGGTGGCTCAGGGCAGGAATCTAGAGCCTGGCTGGGCAGCTCGGGGGTGAGGGAGGGCGAAACCTGCCTCCAGCATGGAATGCAGCCCCACGCCGAGGGCCGAGGGCCACGGCCGAGCCCCAGCTCAGCGCAGGAGGGTCGGGCTCGGCTCCCGCGTGTGACTGACCCGTCCCTGCAGATCCCTGCGGGGCCTCTGCGAGGGCAGCGCCTCGGCGCGTGGGGACGGTGACCGCTCCCGCACTCACCCCTTCCGCAGGCTGACAGTGACGCCGCCGAGCAGGTTTTTGCAATCCTTAATCACTAATTTGAGGTCACCAGGGGTGTCTTGGGTCAGCGCGATGTGGGATGTGATGTTTGTTTCTACCGAGGATCCGCTCAGAAAGTGAAAAATCCTGAAAAAGAAGGAAGTGGCTTGGAGGGTTACGGAGGAAACTGAAACAGCGCAGAAGTGAGGGATCCGTGGCTGAGCTGCAAGCTGGGCTCAGCTGGGACAAGGTTTTAGTCTCAGGACTTCCACCAGGCTCCTGGTCCTCTTAGCAGATCACTGAAGTCCCAGCGTGCCAACAGGCACAGAGGCTTTTCCGAGACAGTTCTGACTTCAGAGGGACGGACAAAGTCGAGATGAAGGATCATGGAACCTTCTGGGCATGTTGCTTCCAACACCTTGTCCACAGCAGGGTCCCTCCCTCTGCCGGCCGCCACAGACTGAGATCAAATCTTTGGAGCGAGGGCGGCTGGAAATGTCCCCAGGGAGAGGCAGCAGCCCAGTGCAGAGCTCTCCTCACCAGCCCTGCGCTCCGCATTCGGGGGTGTTTCCCCAGCGCCCAGGAACGTCCCCTCCTCCCCAGCACCCTCAGAGACCCATGGCCCCGCGCCGTGCTCACCCTGGCAAGCGGAACACCAGCTTCGAGTACAGGTTTAGCACCAGCTCACCCCCGCGAAGGACCTTCCACGACACTCGGATGTTCTCGAGGTTCAGCGCCTTCAACCTGGGGGTTGACATTGAAGCAAACCCGCCTTGAGACGGCAGGATCAGCGGGAGCAGATCCTACGGTCCCATCTCTCCCTCCTGTTCCTCGTTTGACCTGCCGTGGATATTCCCAGTTAAAAGTGAAGGTGGGGAAGGGCCAACCTCTGCTCCAAGAGAAGGCAACTTCAGAGCAGGGCCAGGTTGCCCAGGGCTGTGTCCTCCTGAGTGTCGACCATCTCCAAGGGCGGAGATGTCCCCACTGCAGTGTCACATCACTCCCATGGGGAAGATTTTTCCCATCGCTGACTGAAATTCCCCCATCGCAGCTCCTCACGTGAGCTGAGACCCCAGGTCTGGTGGTTTGTGTAACAGGGAGGATCTGGACACCTGGAGCCGCCCTTGAGGGACCCCATCCTCTGGACGGTGTTTGTTACCCTACAGTGAGCGCCACTGCTGTGCCTCTGCTCTGACTTACCAGGCAAAGCGTGTTGACGTGTGAGGGACTCCTCCACCCAGCAGTCCTCCTCCACCCAGCAGTCCTCCTCCACCCAGCAGTCCTCCACCCAGACCATCAAGACCGAGTAGACTTCCATTGCCTAGGAGACCTCCTTTTCCAAGCAGCCCTGTGCCAAGCAGACCTTTCTCTCCAAGAAGGCTTTTATCGCCAAGGAGGCCATTGCCAAGGAGGCCGTTGCTGAGGAGACCATTGCCAAGGCCTTCCCCACCAAGGAGACCATTGCCAAGGCCTTTTCCACCAAGGAGACCATTGCCAAGGCCTTCCCCACCAAGGAGACTATTGCCAAGGCCTTTTCCACCAAGGAGACCACTGACAGGGCCTTCCCCACCAAGGAGATTATTGCTGAGGCCTTCCCCACCAAGGAGACCACTGACGAGGCCTTCCCCACCAAGGAGACCACTGACGAGGCCTTTTCCACCAAGGATATCGTTGCTGAGGCCTTCCCCACCAGGGATGCCTGTGCCGAGCAGACCACCGCTGCCAGGTTGTCCTCCTGCAACAGCCAGACCTCCATTACTGCTCTGGCTTTCACTGCCCAGAACCCCGCCTCTCCCAAGCGCACCCATGCCGAGGGGACCCTTCTCACCTAGGAGGCCTGTCCCAAGGACCCCGGATCTGCTGGATTTATTTCCTGCATCAAGGGGACTTTCACTTTCTTTTCCACTTGGACCTCCGCTGCCAAGGAGGCCGGTCCCAAGCAGCCCACCCTCACCAAGAAGGCCTGTGTCAAGCAATCCACCTTTTCCGCTGATGAGACCTTCACTGCCGAGAAGACCAGCACCGAGCAGACCTGCACCAAGCAAGTTCCAGTTACTAAACCAGACTTCCACTGTGCCAAGGATTTCGTTGGCGAGGAAGGTTGGTTCAGCTGCCTCGGGCTGACCTGCTTGTGAGGTCTCACGGGGAGCCCTGAGCACCCTTGTGCAAAGTAGGGTTCCCCGTGGAGCCGAGCCCGCCAGGAGGCAAGTCCCTGATGAGCAGAGAGACCCTCCATGAGCCCGAGGTGGCACAGGACACGCCGGGACCGAGGTGGGACACCTGTGCCATGACGCTCCCCTGGGAAACACGGAAAACCTCGGAACTCACCGCCTTTGGGTTGTGCTGGGCTCAGTCCAAGGACACTGCGCAGGTTGAGGAGACCCTGGGAGGGGGGCAGGAGGCCCCCGAGAAGGACGAGACACCAGAAGGGCAACATCGCCTGCCCTGGCACCTGTGGAGAGACCCACGTCAGCCCGAGCACCAGTCCCACCACACCGGAGTGGGCCAGGGCACTGGTCTGGCTCTCCGTCCTTCATGTGCTGCAACCCGGGTCCCCCCTGGACATGCAGCCCCCAGGCACCGTCCCCCCAGCCCTGGGGGACCAGCCCGGACCCTCAGCACCCTTTTCCCACCCAGAGAGGTCAAACAGCTCCTGGTTATCAGGGAGCAACCGGAGCACGGTGACTGTCCCCATGCCCGGCTGGGCCACCCCGCTGCAGAGCTGGGTGCCTGACATCGCTGGGGAGCTTGGAGGGAGAAATTGCTAAAGAGGGCAAGAGGGATGGAGATGAGGCGTGAGGACCTTGTACTGAGAGACGGATGGCTTCCAACTGCTCCAAAACGGCCCTGAAAGAACGCTCAAAGGGGCACAGCTGGATAAAAAATGGTGTGTGTCAAAGTCGTGTCCTTCTCCCTGTTATGAAAAACACCTTGTGTTATTAAAGCTCAAAGCACAGCCAGAATCAGGCTCACTTTTCCGTGGGCAGGTTGTTTGTTTTTCTCATCTTGTTCCATTCAGGCTATGAAAAGAACTCATTTTCCCTGTATTTGATCTGCCTCTAGTCAAAAGAAAACACCTTCAAGGAGCTCATGTTCCCATAGGAGCTGGACTTCTCGGGGTTGCAACCAACGCTGTGAAGTGTTTGTTTATGCACAGAAAGGTGTTTGCAAAGAAATGAAAAGAGAAGCGCTGCCATGTGTCCCAGTTTAAGGGAGCAGCTGCCTGCACAGCCCAGTCCCGGGCTGGACACCCCGGCTTGTGTCTTCTGAGCAAAACACTGCGCGGGCTGCGGATTGCAGAGGTTCAGCACTGAGAAATAACGTTATTTAGGTCAGGCTGAACAACTTCTTTATCTGTTCCAGATACTTTAAAAAAATCCCTCTATGACAGTTCTTGGCACAATTAAATTAGACTTTAATTCACTAGACTGTCTTTTACATTTTCCCTTTGATCAGCATGTAATGATGCACAGCTCCTGTAGCTGTGATTATTGAACAGGAGAGAAAGAGAGAGGCTTGAGCAGCTTCTATTGAAAATCGTGTCAAATAAAATCAGTGGGATTTGTTGGAGGGTCTCTGCAAGACGTGCGTAGCATTGCAAAAGGATTCCAAAATGGTTGAGCGGGTTTTTTTAAGAAGAGCTCTTTGAGAGAATACGTGACAAAGTAGACAACTCTCTCCGCAGTTGTTAACGATATCTATCGAGTTGCTGCCTCCTCGGTCACACGCGCTTAAGTGAGCTGAACAGCTTGCACATGCAAAATGCATGTATGGCTTTGCAGATAAACACTTATTTTATACCAGCTGAGATAAGAGCAGATAAGCCTAAAATTGTTCTGAATTCTGGTCACCAAGATCATGAAAAAAAAAAAAAATCCGAGTCCTTTCTGCTAGCTCAGTCATTCTAACAAACTTAACAACAACAGGAACAAACGTGGAATTTGACAAGCAAGAGCTTCACCAGCTTTAAAAATTAATTTTCATAAATGATTAAATGCTGCTACAGAAATCAAAGGAAAACATCATTAAAATTCTCGCTTGCAAAGCCGAGTTACCCGTTGCCGTCGGTCGCCTCGTGGGAGCGGAGCTCTGCCCGTGGCACCGCGCCGGCGCTGACCCGGAGCCCCTCGCCAGCGGCCGCGCCGGGAGCAGCTCTTATACCCCCTCGGCGGGCACAGGCAGGGCCGGGCAGGGCCGAGGAGGGATCGTTCCTCTTTCACTGCCTGTCAAGTGTGAACCCCTGTCTCTTAT